CATGCCTTTGTCCCAGCACTTGGGAGGCAGAGCCAGATCTCTTGAGTTTGAGGCCAGCCTGGTCCACAGAGTTCCAGGACAGCCAGGGCTATACACACACACACAAAGGAAAGGAAACAATTTTAAGAGCTAGAGACACAACACAGTGTCACAGTGTCTGTCTAGCATGTGAGGCTCTAAGTTCAATCCTAGCCAGGAAATAAATAAGAAAATTGTGCCAGGGTAGTGGTACATGCCTTTGATATCAGTACTCAGGAGGTAAAGGCAGGTGGATCTGGCTAAGTTCCAGGCCAGCGTAACATAACAAGACCCCACCTAAAAGAAAGAAAGAAAAAGGTAAAAGGCATTAACTGATTATAAAGAACTTTGAAGAAGCAGCTTCATTACCAAGGATGACTTCATAGGTGTTAGGGTTTGCCAGGGCATTTGAGTCGGAATGGATGCACACTCTTGTGTAGCATTTGTGTGTATCAGGAAGAGGGACGCGTAACCGAGCAGGTGTTACGCAGAGGAGATTCTCACCCTTTAGGGGAGGACGGTTGTTTCTGGAGACTCAGTCCTTATCGTCCTTTTAGTTTCCCGCTAGAACACTCTAGAAATAATAGTTTCTCAGGCTAAAACTTTGAGCCTAGCGTGTAAGGCCTACAGTTGGTCCCAGGCCTTCACCCCAGCTGTCACTCTGCTGTGCAGTTTGTTTTCTCGTGCCGTTACCAAGTCCTGTAGTTGCAGCTCCTCCCGATCTTTGGCTCCTCACTTTTCATCTCTAAACTGGGAGTGGAACTTTGGCCCGACACATGCTAAGCAAGTGCTGCCGCTCGGCTGCTGCCCATCTGCATATGTAAACTTTCAGATTGCAGGAGACCTGCTGCTCTCTCAGCTTCCTCTAATAGGAATGTAACCATAGTACAATTGCCACACCTAAGAATGAACATTTGTCATTTCTCCATTGTCTTTTATTCAGATGGTAGTAGTAGTCTAGAATAGTTGCCTCTGGTTTTCATTTATTCTTCAGCCAGTCTTTGTGAAAATGACCGCAGTTAAACCTGTGTCTTTCCCTAGCTGTTGGGATAAAGCCTAAATTTTTAATATACTCAAAAAGTCCTTTATTTATAATATGGTTCCAGGTGATTAAACAGTTGAACTTATTTTACTGATCTTCAAAAACCTTTTTGACTGTCACTTCTAGTTTTTGTGTCTCTCTGGTGGACGCCTTTGATGTCTAATAACTTTTCCTGATTTATTATTGTTTTGTCAGGGTATTTGTTTAACTTCTTTACCAGACTGTCAGTTTTAAGAGGGTTTATCATGGTCAGCAGTTGGGTCTGACATAGTTGGTATAATAGACACTTATTAAATACCTGTGCTGGGTGTGACCTACTTAACCAAACAGCTTTACTCACTGTGTTGCCATTTGCTCATTTGCTTTTCAGCCAAGGGATTCATGTAGCTCTGGCTGGCCTGAACCTCTTTCTGTGTAGACCAAGCTGGCCTTGAACTCAACAGCTCTCCCTGTGCCTACCTTTTGATGCTGTGGTTAAAGGCATGTGCCATTATACCAGGCCAGATACCAATTTCTAAAAAAGATTTTATTTATTTATTTTTGAGACAGGGTTTCTCCGTAGCTAAGGAGCCAGTCCTGGAATTTGCTCTGTAGACCAGACTGGCCTCGAACTCACAGAGATCCACCTGTCTCTGCTACCTGAGTGCTGGGATTAAAGGCCTGCGCCACTACCTTTGCTCAACAAGAGTTAATATTTTTAAGTTATGTGTGTATTTGTGTTCCTGTGTTGCATGTGGGTCCCTGCAGAGGAGAGGCATCAGAACTGGAGTTAAGGCAGTTGTTAGCTGCCCAGGGTAGGTACTGGGAACAGACGCAGGTCTTCTGCGAGAGCAGTCAGTATACATCTTACCTGATGAGCACTCTTTCCAGTCCCTTTGCTACCAATTTGTATCCCAAACTGGGCTCCATTTTCCTCTTGAGGATATGGGACCTTAAGAAGACCCTTTAATAGGAGATAGACTTGCAAATCAACTGCTCCAGTTGTTGGGGACTGGGAGCTTGTAGCTAGTTGTAGATACATAGAAGAAAGTTAGCTAAGAAAAGGGAGAGATGGGTCTTTTCTGGGTAAGGATGGAGATTTTCTAGGGAAGTGTTTTTTTTTCCCCCCCTTCTGTTCTTTCCTAGTGGTTGTCACTGAGCTGGGCTGCGGGTTGCCATTTATCAGTCAGATGGGATTATACAGATGTAAAGGTTATCTTGTGGCCTTTCTGTTAACCACCTGAGTTTCAGCCAGCTTTGATAAAACCAACTGAAGAATAGCTTTTCACTTACCAGTGTCTAGTCCTCAGAAATAAAGAGTTTTTGGCAGTGTAGGAATTCAGTGAGGCCATTGGGGCAGTGTAACAATTATGCCTTAAATATATCTCACATACTTTATTGTATTTATCATATTTAGAATACTTATATTCTATGGGACTTGGAATGTGGCTCAGATCTGGTTTAGTTTCATAATACTGAGGTGGGAGGCCACTTGGCCTTCCTTTCATACTGCTTCTATTTCCTCACAGGCTCTAGTGCTAAAACGAAGTACATCTCCTCCAAAAAGACTTCTTTGATCACACTTGCTGTCTTAGCTATTTTTTCCTGTTGACTCTTGTAACATTTAACATCATTGCTACTTTGCCCTGTGCATGCTGATGCACCTGCTCCTTGTATGCTCATATCTTCTCTATTCCAGTCCAGGGTAGCTGCTAATAGGCAGCTGCTTACTTAAGTTTCTTCTTCCTTTTCTTTCCTTTTTCCTGAGTTTTTAGAAGTTAAGAAGCCTTGAAAAGGCCCCTGCTGCTGACTTTAGGGCTTGCAAAAAATGGACAACAAGGTCTTTGCTGTAAATAAATTTGCATTTAAGTAGAAAAGATGAAAAAATAGCATTTATCAAGTACTTCATTTATCATTTGTAAGGAATTAAAAAACTTTCTATACCAAAGATATAAAGCATGTGCATGAATAAATGAAAAGCTGTGTAAAACACTAGGAGCTCTTCATCCAACAAATACTTACTAGAGGGGTGCGTGTGTGTGTGTGTGTGTGTGTGTGTGTGTGTATGAATAAAGGAAAAGCTGTGTAAAACACTAGGAGCTCTTCATCCAACAAAAATTCTTACTAGAGGGGTGCGTGTGCCAGCCACACTGGTAAATGCAAAGAATACTCTTAGTTTCCATTGAGCTTATAGGTGTGTGTGTTGGGGGGTACAGGAAATAATGAGGCAGTAAGTTTAGGAGCTAAAGAGGTGGCTTAGTGGTTCTGAGCTTTTGTTGCCCTTGCAGCAACGTAGGTGACTCACAACTGCCTGTAACTTTAACAGCTCCAAGTTATCTATTGCCCTCTTCTGACCACACATGCCCCAAATAAAAATAATGAAGAAAATAGCGTAAGTTCTGTTTTAAGCATGTGTTTGCGTGTATGTGCGCACACAAGATTGAACTAAGGCCCTCACACTTGCTAGGCAAGAACTCCACTACTAAGTTTACAGCTTCATGATGGCTGGGAAAACAGAATTTAATAATTGTTATTTTATGAGATACAGTGTTTGTGTAGCCCAAGGTGGCCTTAAAAACTAGGGAGTGAAAGGAATGGCTCAGTGTTTAAGAGTTCTGGCTGCTCTTGCAGAGGGCCCTGGTTCAGCTCCCTCAACTCACATGGTGCTCAACCATCCATACTCCTGCTCCAGGGTCTGACACCTCTCCTGACCTCCATAGGCACCAGGTACATACATGGTGTACAGACATACATGCAGGAAAAACACTCAGACACAGAAAATAAATAAATAAATAAAAATTGAAAACCCTCTGTATAGCTGAATGTGTCCTTAGACCTTTATTCCTCTTGCCTTCCCCTCCCAGGTGCTAGGACTGCGTGCATGTGCCATCACATGTGGGAACCCGGTTCTAAGTCCTGTTCATGTAGCCCTCAGTCTAGCAGAGCCAGACAAGTAAGCTCATATGTCCTGTGTAGTATTTACATGCCATAATGGGAGAAGGTGCACAGGTGCTTGGAAGTTAAGGGGTTCTTGGACTTCCAGCCTAAGGCCTCTCATATCTGGAAAAAAGGAGGAGCAGCAGCCTTGGGGAACCTGGATGCTTTGGGAAAACATTCAATACCTACACTGCCAACAGATTGCTAAATTAAGATTCTATGGGGACACATGTGGTGCAGAGGAACTGTAGGGTTCAAGGTCCAGAGATAGAAGCATTAAGTTGTTTTGTGAGACTACATCTTAGGAGTAGGGTCAGAAGGGATAAGAATAAGACCAGAGGGTCCCTGGTATCACTCAGGATTCTTCAAAACATTTTATCATCCTTTGTTAATTTAAATTTTATAAACTGAGATAGAGTTAGGCTTTGACACAGGTCTCACTACTCTAGATTTAGTTGATAACTTTGTACATTTCAGCTTACTTCTCTTTGGTGTGAAAATGGTTAATCATTTCAGAAAAATTAAGCGAACTGATACTTTACTAAGACTAAACATCCCCCCTCCCAAGACAGACAGACAAAAGATCTTACGTTCTGTTCATCAGTAATTATTCTCTGTGGGCCAGACTTCCCAAGATAGTTTTTGGAGTAAAAGTATGTGTCCCATTGGAGGTTTCTGAGGTACCAGGCCAGGCTGTGATAAACAGTGCATGTTTTCTCTTTCAGAAATTCCTAATACAGATCTAGAAGGAGGAGAGTCAAAGCTGACTGAGGGGGCACTCCATCATTTCCTGGTTCAGCCTTTTTAGATGGGATCTCCCCTGTGTATCCTGGTCTTCGTTCCTCTCAAGTGCCAGGATTAGAGGTGTCCAGCCTGGCCTGAAGGCCTTTATGAAGAATTTAGTACTTTGAAACCCCAGAAAAGATTGTACTATAGTCCTGGTATACCGAATATGGATTGGCTAATTTATAGGGTTTCTTTAAGCTGGAATTTAATTAGTAACCATGCATTTTCTTCTTTGTAGAAAGAAATTCAAGCTATGAGTCAGTGCCATCATCCTAATATTGTGTCTTACTACACGTCTTTTGTGGTAAAAGATGAGCTGTGGCTAGTCATGAAGCTGCTAAGTGGAGGTGAGTATACTGTAGTGGAATGCTAAGTCCATGGGTTAAAAATTTAATGCAAATTTCCCAGCACTCAGAGCAGAGGCAAGCAGATCTCTGAGATCAAGGCCAGCCAGAGTTACTTAGTGAGATCTTATCTAAAAAGAAATAAAATTCTTCTTACCCTGATAGGGTTTTGTTGACATTTTACATTTGAAGGTACTGAGACTGTAGTTCAACTAAACAGATGCTAATGTGTAGCTGCGCTAGGCTTCATACCTTTTGTTTGGCTGTTCCAGCATCTCTGTTATCTTAGTACAGTTTCCTCCCTTCCTCCCAGGACATCATCTGATTTTGTCTGTTTATCTAGATTTATTTGATTCTTCCTTTTTGGTGTCATGCCTAATCTGTATGTCTATTTTCTAGCATCCTGAGTATTAGATTGAAAATTCAACTGGATGGAATTTAGGCTAAGATTTTTATGTCTGTGACATTGTACATTCCATATTGTATCACATCCGTCTGAATGTATCTTTAATAGTAATGTTTGTTTTGTTTGCCTAAAGTTGTGACAGCCCAGTTCTCTATATGAGAAGGATTTTCCCTTGTAGCTAGCAGGGAATCTGTGAGATGAAACTTTGCCACTATTATCGAGGTCCCCATAAGTCTTATATTTTATATATTTAGCATTCAGTCCATGTTTAAATGAGTTAATTCATTAGAAAGTTTTTTTTATTATTATTGCATTGTTTCTTTTTTTGTTTTGTTTTTAGAGACAGGATTTCTCTGTATATCCCTGGCTGACATTTCTTTTGTTAAATATAAAATAAGAGGAACCTTGCCCTATTAACTGGGGCTCTTTAATCTGTATTGTAGTTTCCATTAAAAAGTCTGAGGACAGGTGACATGGCCCATCTGACAAAAACAAACAAACAACAACAACAAAAAAACCCCACTTTCTGTAAAGGGCAAGCCTCATGCCTGTTCGACTCTGGGACCCATGTGACGGTAAGACAGGAGGACTGCTCCACAAGGCTGTCTTCTGAGCACATGTGCGCTGGAGAACTCACGCTTGCCCCAGTAACAAATACACATTGAAATACATATGAAGGATTGAGCTGGGTGAGGGTGGCACACACCTTTAATCCCAGCACTCTGTAGGCGAGGCAGATAGATCTTTGTGAATTTGAGGCCAGCCTGGTCTACAGAGCTAGTTCTAAGATAGCTCGGGCTACACAGAGAAACCCTGTCTCGAAAAACAAAAAACAAAAACCCACTCCAAAACAAAACAAACAAACAAAAAACAACAAAATTGATTGTTGGCCTGGAGAAAGATTACTTAGTAGTTAAGAAAATTTGTTGGATTTCCATTTTTTGTACCCACAGAATGTCTTATAATCATCTGTAACACCAGTTCCCCAGAATCTGATGCTTTCTGACCTCTGGGGGTACTGGGCACATACATGGCACACATATATAAACATATGCACTTAAAGTACTCATACACATAAAATAAATTTAAATTAATTAAAAAAAATTTATTGTTGAGCTGAATATGATGACCCAGCCCTATAACCCCAGCACATAGGAAGCTAAGGCAGGGAGATTGCAAGTTTAGGGGCCAGTTTAGACTGTATATAGCTGGTTCCTTGCTGTTTGATTCTAGATTTTTTTTTCCTATGTGTGTGTATTTGTGCGTGTGTGTTCGAATGTGCATTTGCATGTGCACAGGCATGTTTGTTTTTGTGTGTTTTATTCATATGTGTGCAGTTGTGTGCATGTGTAGGCAAGAAGACAATTTTAATTTTTATTCCTTAGATGTTCTCCACTTTCCTTGGTTTGAGACAGGGTCTTTCAGTGCCCTGGTCTTTGCCAAGTAATCTAAGGGTTCTGTTTATATCCATCTATCCAGTGCTGGGGTCATAAGACCAAGTCACCACATACAGCTTTTTTTCCCCCAAATGGTTTCTGGGAACTGAACTCAGGTCTTACTGCTTGATTTTTACTGACTGAGCTGTCTCCCCAGCTGTATTTTTTTCTTCCCATACCTAGAGTCAGCCAGTCTTCTAATGAGTCTGAAGACTAGCATTATAAAGCACAACTTAGATACTTGGCTTGTCCATTGCCGTGGCCTCAGTGCTTTTAGAACTTGCAATGTTATATGTTACAAGTAAATCTTAGTTTCACATCAGTATTTCTTGTTTGAACATAATATAAATTTATAAAACTTTTTTTATCAACTCCCACCCCTATAAAACTATTAAAGTATTATACTTGAATCTGTTTTCTCTTACATAGAATATTTTGATTTCAATATTAGAATAATTATATATTTTTTCTTGTAACCTATATATAATATACACAAATACATGGACATTTGGCATGTATGGATTCAATTTTTTTTTTTTTTTTTTCCGAGACAGGGTTTCTCTGTATGGCCCTGGTTGTCCTGAAACTCGCTCTGTAGACCAGGCTCTCTTTGAACTCAGATTCACCTACCTCTGTCTCCCAAGTCCTGGGATTACAACTGCCTGGCTGATTGAACATTTTATGGTTATCTGAAGACACATGCTATATGTAGTGATACATCTCCTCTTCCCTTTTTGGTAAGGCTTCGGTTTGAATGTGTAACAAGATTGGTAGGACTTGTGAGTGATGGAGCCACTCACCCTTCCTGTTCTATGTTGCTTGGTTTCTGTGTGTATTTGCTTTTTGTAAGGAAGTGTGATTGCCCATTTTATAGTGTACAGTAAGAGAAGGAACAATGTGTAAAAGGAGCAGCAGGCTGCTTCCCGCTGCCCAGCTCTCGGCCACCAGCTAGCTTTACCCAAAATAATTACACGGAAACTGTATTCATTTATTTAAACACTGTCTGGACCACTAGTTCTAGCCTCTTACTGGCTAACTCTCACATCTTGATTAACCCATTTTTAATAATCTGTGTAGCACCACGAGACTGTGGCTTACCAGCAAGATTCTAATCTACATTCGTCTTGGGCCGGAGAATCATGGCGTCAGCCTGACTCTGATTTCTTTCTCCCAGCATTCAGTTCTGTCTACTCCACTCACCTAAGGGCTGGCCTATCAAAAGCCAAGGCAAGCTGGGCGGTGGTGGCGCACGCCTTTAATCCCAGCACTTGGGAGGCAGAGGCAGGCGGATCCCTGTGAGTTCGAGACCAGCCTGGTCTACAGAGCTAGTTCCAGGACAGGCTCCAAAGCCACAGAGAAACCCTGTCTTGAAAAACCAACCAACCAAACAAACAAACAAAAAAAAAAAACACAAAACAAAAACAAAAGCCAAGGCAGTTTCTTTATTAACCAATGAAAGTAACTCATAGACAGATGACCCTCCTACACTAACAATGCACATTTATTTAGTGTGCAGTAATGCTTCCTCAGAGAGACAGACTGTAGAATAAAATACATCTTTCTCTTTAGTCATTGTATGTCACTAGGAAAGAGTGTCCACTCTGAACTGTACCTGCTTGCTGAATGAGAATGCCTTTCTGTGTTCCAGGGTGTTGATGTGGTGACACAAGATTGCACAAGAAAAGCATCCACCTCCGTGCTCTCATGTAGGAGGTGCACAGAGAGCGAGCTCAGTTGTATAGGAGTCTTCCCTTGCTACCCGAGGCTTTCAGTGTAGCCAGAGTCACCCCTTTGTGTTAATCCATTGTGACACACTGGAGACACGAATTGCTTAGTTAAAGGCCTGCTTCTTGTGATAGTCACTAACACCAACCACCTTTCAAGATGTTTTTTAGAACCATTCTCATCTTTGTCATATTCTAAGAGAGAAAAATATGGATAACCCCTTGAGCAAAGCAGGACCCAGCAAAATATCTATTTAGTAGTGATGAGCTTTGCATGTTTAATCAGTAGTAGTGAATTTTTAGTTTTTTTTTTTTTGGCATCTATTACCTTATAATGGAATAATGAACTAAACAAAATTTGGGCCCTCTGAAACCTCAATGGCTCAGAAAAATGTTAGTAGTGGCAGTAGTCATTAAGGCTTGGGGACATAGTTCAGTATTGGAATGCTTCTTTAGCATGGGTAAGGCCCTGACTGTCCTCAACCCTATAAGAAAAAGAGAATGAATAATAGCTAAATTTTTATGTAAGCATATTTTTTAAAATAAAAGCAAAGTTAGGAAAGTAACAGAAATCAATTTATTTGATTAATTAACAGGACTCTTAAATTAGCAGTTGCTTCACTTTGCCCATATAATTATTTTTTTTAAATATCTTTAAATTTTTTTATTTTTATTAGATGTATTTATGTGTGTGTTGTATACTATGAGTATGCAGTACCCACAGAAGTCAGAAGAGGACATTAGAGCCCTTGGAACTGGAGTTAAGGACAGTTGTGAACCAACATGTGGGTGCTGGGAACTGAAGCAAATTTCTAGCCAGCTTTTCTTCAGTTATCCCGTGTACCTTTTGCCTGTGGGCTTTCATCTTTCTATGTACCTTTCTTTCCTCCTTATTCTATGGCTGGCTGTGTGGCCGCCCCCTGGCATCCTCTTCTCCTTTTTCTTGCTCTTCCTCCTCCTCTTCTAGATTTCCTCTCTTCTTTCACCATGCCAGCCACGCCTATCCTTTCTCCTGCCTTGGCCATTCTGCTCTTTATTAGACCAATCAGATGTTTGAGGCAGGCAAAGTAACACAGCTTTACAGAGTTAAAATAAATGCAGCATAAACGAATCTAACACGTTTTAGACTACTATTCCATAACACACTGCTGTTTGGTATATATCATTCTGTGTTCAAACTGTGATGACACAGAGATTATTTTGGGGGAATAGAAGAACTATGTTTTTAATTTTTTGCTTTGTTACAAAATTTGTACTAAAATCTCATTTATCAGTATTTTATTCTAAAAAATGCTTGAGTTTTATTTATTTTTTTCTTTAAAAATTTCTTTTGGAGACAGATTTTCATATAGTATAAGGCTGGCCTCTTCTAAACTTGCTGTGTATTGAGGATGACCTTGAACCCTATTCATTTAGTCTGTACCTCCTGAATACTAGGGTTGCAGGGATCACCATATTGGTTTATGCAGTGCTGGGGATCAAAGCCAGCCTCATGCCTGCTAGATGAGCCCTCCCTTCCTCCCTCCCTCCCTCCCTCCCTCCCTCCCTCCCTCCCTCCCTCCCTCCCTTTCTTTGCTAGCTCGCATTTTAAAGTTCAAAAACTGAGTCTTCCCTGTACAGTATTTCTTGCAGACTGTGGTTAAGGACATACTACAGTACACACTCCTACAACTGTCTCCAAAATCCCTATTTTTCTTTAGTAAATTGGGTTAATTGGGCTGTCCAGTGATAATCATTAGTCTCTTTCTGCTTAGCATGTTTTACCTTCACCTTTCTTTTAGTTGACATGAAAATTTCTATGTAACTTCAGTGTTTGAGAAGTATTATCACTGAATTAAATGCTACAGTGTTGAGTAAATCAAGTGGTTGAGCTCTCTGTTGTATATGTGCTTGTGAGTTTTCATCTGGTAAAAAGGAATCTCAATCCAGAAAATGCTTCCATAGGACTGCCCTGTCGGCAAGTCTGTGCTGCATTTCCTGACTGGTGATTGCTGTGATAGGGTCCAACTACATGGGTGGTGCTGCTCCTGTGGGTACTATGAGAAGGCGCCCTCCACGGCCTCTGTATCATCTCCTGCCTCCAGCTTTCTCCCGTTTGAGTCCTGCCCTGACTTCCACAGCTGTGGCTGTGACTTGGAAGTTGTAAGCTGAAATACCCTTTCCTGCCTCCCAAGTGCTGGTATTAAAGGCATGTGCCATCATTCTTGGCTTATATCTTATTTTGTAATAATTTCTAGATGTCAATATAATAGGACTTAATTTTTCTTTTGTTGCTTGATGTTTTGAGAAAGGATCTCATTGGCTGGGTTGAGCTGGAACTCAGTGTATAGTTCAGTCTGGTCTTGACCTTAGGACAGTCCTACCTGAGCCCTTGAGTGCTAGAAGTGCAGGTGGGCATACTTGTTAAATGAACAAATTCTGTTGATTTAAAGTTCTATCAGATCCCTCTCCTCCACTTCCAGTCTTTTAAAATTTTAAAAATTCTTAAAGCTTTAAACATGGCATTTTATAGCCTCACTAAATAGTTCTTGTGGCCTTTTTCCTAAGAGTGAACATGTGGTCTCATTGATTCAGTCACTTTTCTTCAGGGCTTTATATATGACTGATAAACTCAACAGAACTGAACTTCTCCCTAGTCCTCGATTAAAAAATTTGTAAATCCTAGTATCAAGGAAGGCAAAGTCCTGTAATGTGTGTGAGTATTGTGTGAGTTTGGAACCTCTCTAGCTCCTTAGCTCAAGGGAATAAAATGCCTATCTCTTGAGTGGTGGTGGACTGGCTTCCAGGGAGAGAGTTAAGAGACTCGTCCTTGTAGGCAGTTCTCTTGTCTTCATCCCTTTCTTCTCTCTCCCCTCCTCTTCTCCTTATATGGTATTGGTGCTGGAACTCCAAGTAGGGATTTTATTTTTTCTTTCAAGGCTGGCTCACACTATGTTGCTCTGGCCTGGAACTTACTGTGTGGACCTCGAACTCAGTGATTCACCTGTCTCTGCCTCTGAAGACAGTTGGGGAATCACTTCTGTATCTCTTCTGTAGGCAGTGAAGTTCAGATTTCTGTATGTGCTTTCTTTCTGAGAATATCGTTACCATCTTCTGTTCTCTCTTGTGTTTTTCCTTATTTAGGCTTAAGGAGTCTTTCTTAGTCAGTTGCCACTGCTGGGCCAGACTTGATTCTGCACAAGCTGTTCTATCACAAATGTTGTCTGTGGACTGTTCTTGAGCCTTTAAAGCCTTCCAGCAGTTCTGTAACACAGGATATGGCTGTCAGTTCTTTCCTTAGGCACTTGGGCTCTATTATTGTTGTTATCATTATTATTATTATTAGATCAAGCTTATTGAGTCATTAAATTATTTTGGAGGGTTTGAGGTTGTGTTTAATGGCAGTCCAAGCTGGCCTTGAGTGCTCTGTGTGATTGAGAATGACCTTCAACTCCCAATCCTTCTGCCTTCATTCTGCAAGTGCTAGTATTACACACACACACACACACACACACACACACACACACACACACACACGCCACCTCACCTGATTTAAATCATTGGCTCTTAAGTGGGAGCTCAAAGAAGCTTGTGTTGAGTTGTGTTGTAAGGAGGATGCTAGTTAGTTTTTGGCCGCTTAGCCCTGAAATAATCATACAGAAACTGAATTAATTAAATCACTGCTTGGCCCATTAGCTCTAGTTTCTTATTGGCTAACTCTTACATGTTAATTTAACCCATTTGTATTAATCTGCTTATCACCACGTGGCAGTGGCTTATGGCTAAAGTTCCAGTGTCTCTGGCAGGACTACATGGCTTCTCCCTCTTCATCCTCCTTTCTCCCAGCATTCAGTTTAGTGTTCCCTCGCTAAGTTCTGCTCTGCTATAGGTCCAAAGCAGTTTCTTATCAATGGTATTCACAGCATACAGAGGGGAATCCCACATCAGTGCTGTTTTTTTTTTTTTTTGGTGGGGGGGGGGATTGAGACTAGGGTACTCTGCCTCTGAGCTGTACCTCCAGCCTCCTAGACTATTGTTTCTTATGATTTTGGAATTAACTTTCTTAAGTGAGTCAATTAAGAGTATGCAGTATTTTCAGTGGACTGAATGGTTTTATTTTCTTGAAAAAAGAGAGTGTAAGTGGTAAACAGTGCATGTAGAGAGGGCGGTGGAGTCAGCTCCATGCATTTTTATGAGTCTCTGTCAAAAGTTTTTGGGTGTAAGTAGTTTTGATTTTCAGTGTTCTGTGGTTTTAACTGATGTGTAAGAGTTTGTTCCTCCTGCCCCCTTGTTTGGTAGGTGTAGCATCTTGCTTGCTGAGAGGAACTGGATTGATGAGACATCTGGGCTAAAGGAAAACTGAAATTGCTGTTATTACCATGTTTATCTTTGCCTCATCTGTTTTATTTGTGTATTTGTTATCCTAGAATTTTAGCCTTTAAGTTAACTTGATTACTTTATTAGTCTGGGTTATCTAGAGCAACAGACTCTTAGAGAATGAATCTCTCTATATATAAAAAGGGGATTTATTAGAATGAGTTACAGGCTGTTGGTGTAGGAGTTCCTTCTGTTTTTGTGTTGCTTTCATTGGTTAATGAATAAAGAAACTGCCTTGGCCTAGTTGATAGGGCAGAACTTAAGTAGGTGGGGAAGACAAAACCGAATGCTGGGAGGAAGAGAGGCAGAGGAGGAGAGGGACATCATGGAGTCACCAGAGACAGACATGCTGAATCTTTCCTGGTAGGCCACAAACTCGTGGTGATATACAGATGAATAGAAATGGGTTAAATCAAGATGTGAGAGTTGGGCGATAATAGGTTATAGATAATGGGCCAAGCAATACAATTTCTGTATGGCTATTTTGGGGCTAAGCTAGCCGGGTAGCAGGGATGAACAAGCGTGTCCCTCCCTGCAACAGGCTGTCGTCTAGGTAATCCAACAATGGTTGCCTATGAACAAAAAGTCCTAGAACACAGTAGTAGTTGTTCAGTCCACAAAGCTGGATGTCTCAGCTGGTCCTCAGTATATGCCAGAGTCCCAAAGTAGGCTTTGATGCTAGTGAATGAATGGATTTGCTAACAGTGGCAAGTACAAGACAAAGTGAAACTTCCTTCTTCCATGTCATTAATAGATTTCCAGCAGGTGTGGCCCAGGTTAGACTGTGTCTTCTGAACTCAAAAGAGCTGGATTAGAAGTAGTTCTTCCTACTTCAAATTAAGCAAAATCCCTTACAGGTGTGCCCCTGCATTTTTTTTGATGTTAGTTAATTCTAGATGCAGTCAAGTTGACAACCAAGACTAGCATCACAGTGACAAATGTGATTTTTACTTTCCACATATGTCTTTATTGTTCAGTTGTATTTTTACATTCTTAGTTGTAAAATACTGCACAGTCTAGTCTGGGTTGAAAACTGCTTTGGTTTGTGGTATCTTATATTAGAGTGTTACTGATTGATGTGGTTTCCCCAGGCCTCCTTCACAGTTGATCAGAATCCTGCATTAACCCTTCTAAGTTCTGAGAGAGCTTAAGGACACACTGGTGTAACACACCACTTGGATATTAATTACTTTCTGTTTTAGGTTGCAATTTAGAATTTGAAGCATCTGTATTTCCTTGTATTTGCTGCTTTATCCTTTTTCACATAACTTATATTAATGTTCTAATGTGCTTTGATTCTAAACTAGATCTGAATAATGGGATGAGTTAAAATTTTTACTGGATTATGTTTCCTGTTTTCAGGTTCTGTTCTGGATATTATTAAGCATATTGTGGCAAAAGGGGAGCATAAAAGTGGAGTCCTAGATGAGCCGACCATTGCTACAATCCTTCGAGAAGTCCTGGAGGGATTGGAATATCTGCATAAGAATGGGCAGATTCACAGGTTTGTGCAGGGCTATGCTGGTCTCCTTCCCAGGGTGTGTTGACTGTACTTGTGCCTCATTGAGAGACAGTATCTTTATGAATTTGTTTCATTTCTGAGCTCTGTGCTTTATGTATTAATACTTTCAGTTTGTTTTGTTGATTATAGTTTGAATTATACAACACATAAATAATAAAAAAGCAATAAATTTAATAAAACAAAAAACAAAATGTAAGCCCAGCATGGTGGTGCACGCTTTTAATATCCGCTCTCAGGAGGCAGAGGCAGTTTTGATGTTCCATAGCAGACTTGGGGACTGCCAGGGTTGCATGGTAAGGCTCTGTTTCAGCAAACAAATGAGGAAAGTGTTTTAGTAAAATTGGAAAATAAAAACACAGATCAGTTTAATTTTTGCCGAAAAGATAATCACTGGTAATATTTGGAATATTTCCTTCCATTTTCTTTTCTGTTTCCTAAAGTACTTAAGGTAATGGTACTTATATAATTTTGTCTCTCATTTTTGGGGTGCTAGGGATTGAACTGAGACTCTTGTGCATGCTAGACAATGTTATACCACAGAGCTATATATTTATAACCTTTAAAAATCAAAATAACAACAAAACACCAACTTTTAAAAGTCTTGCTAACATGGGGGCTGGAGAGATGGCTAACAGTTAAGAGCACTGGCTGCTCTTCCAGAGGACCTAGGTTCAATTCCCAGTACACATATGGCAACTCACAACTGTCTCTAACTCCAGTTCCAGGGGTCTGATACCTTCACACCAATGTACATTAAATAAACTTAAAAAAAATTTTTTTAAAAAAATCAACAACAACAAAAAACAAATAAAAGCCTAGGCTGCCTATAACTCCTAATCCTCTTGCCTCACCCTTCCAAGTCCTGGGATTATAGGTATATGCCACTATGTCCACACTGTCTATTGCTCTCATTTTATTTTATATCTTAAGTAGTTTTCTAAATTACTGCAAAGTTCCTTGTTTTTTTAAATATTTATTTATTTATTTATTTATTTATTTATTTATTTATTATGTGAAGGCGAAGGCGTAAGTCAAAAACAATCCCACACCAGTTTAGAATTATGATTAATAGAATGGTTATTCATTTAAAGGGGAAAAAACTTACAGATCACCGTCCCAGACAACAGCCCTCTGCGCAACCAGGAAGGGAGTCTAGTCGCCGGAAGCGGAGCAGGAAGTAAGAGAGAGCGAGAAGGGAAGTGGCTGCTTTTTTAAAGGGAGAGAGACCACACCCCAATGGGCTGGTATCTCAGCGGCTATTGGCTGGAGGAGAGGAAGGACCTCCCGCAACACCTCCCCCTTTTGTTTAAGTAAGAGAGTTCTAAACCTATTACGAAATTATATACAATAAGTACAAATATCCTATTCTAACTAGCTTAGGTCTTGTATAATAAATAGCTTGGCCAAGTCATGAGTGGAAAGTAACTACATTTATATAGTCTTCAACCCCATCAAAGATCTGAGAAGGGAAATAATGTTACCTGAGTAATTAGGAAGTGCAATCAAACAACTTCCAAAACATGCAACAAATCACAGACAGCTACCTGGGCAATCACCCAAAGTCACATTTGCAGCATTGAAGCAACCAACTTTGACTAAGGCCTAACATAACTGACATACCATTTTCAAAGGCAAGCAACTTTTCAAAACTATCTTACCCTGTCTTGGCAGGATATGACAGTCCTATTTTATCCATTGATGCACGCTCTGTATCTCTGTCAGTGGTTGAGGTATGGGCATTTCTTTGCCCAAAGGCCACTTCTGCCAAAAAGAAAGACTCCAGGTGGAGCATCTTTCATGCTCAACATTCTCTCGGGAATAGTGCGGTATTGCCAGGAGCAATTGTGTCTCACTACCACAAAACTCTGAGTTAGATTAAAGGCCATTTTCTACAGCTCTTTGAAGAGGTTGAAGATTGTCTATCTATACTGAATATAATCTCTATGTATCTAAAGAACCTGATTAGTCTAATTATAAATGACAAACTTAGAATACTACTGATCTATATAATTCTCAATACCTGTCTAACTTAAAGACTAAGACAATAAACGACTGTGAAACAAATGAGGACAATGACCTCCAAATATAAACAATGTACAAATATACATTGCAGTATGGTAAATATATATCAATACACAAACAACATATAAGTATCTTAATCAGAGGTAGAAATGTACACTGCAATATGGTAAATATATACAATATATATCAATACAATATATGTCAATACATAAAAAATGTTTTAAACAGAGGTAGAAACATACATGCATACAGTAGTCAATATAATTTAACTTTGTATCAATATACAAGAATGGATACCAATATATTTGTCTAAAAACAGTAACTCTAGTCACTGGAAGCGGAGCAGGAAGTAAGAGAGAGCGAGAAGGGAAGTGGCTGCTTTTTTAAAGGGAGAGAGACCACGCCCCAATGGGCTGGTATCTCAGCGGCTATTGGCTGGAAGAACGGAAGGACCTCCCGCAACAATTATGTATACAATATTCTGTCTGCATGTATGCCTGAAGGCCAGAAGAGGGCAACATACCTCATTACAGATGGTTGTGAGCCACCATGTGGTTGTTGGGAATTGAACTCAGGACTTTTAGAAGGGCAGGCAATGCTCCTAACTGCTGAGCCATCTCTCCAGCCCCAGCAAAGTTCTTTGTTAAGTACTACTTTTTAATTAGAGCTTTAAGCTTTTCCTTTTTCCATAATCAGCAGTCTGGACCTAGTACTGCCACCTGAGAACTGAGTGATAGACACTGTGTGTAGACATAGATTTGTGTAGATAGACACTGTGTGTAGACATAGATTTGTGTAGATAGACACTGCATATAGACGTAGATTTGTGTAAGCCCCCTTTCCAGACTCCTTTTGGGGGCTGCCATCTGGTCCAGTGGAGTTGCTATTGCCACAGGAAATGAAAGGCTTTTTCCTTAAGCTGTCTTTTGCAGCCGTTTAGGGAGTTGGCTCCCTTGGGTCCTCTGGAGGATTGGAGTTTTGAGGTAGCACATTGAGGATTTGTATAAAAGATGCTTCTTGCTGGGTGGTGGTGGTGCACGTCTTTAATCCCACCACTCTAGAGGCAGAGGCAGGCAGATCTCTGAGTTCGAGGCCAGCCTGGTCTACAAGAGCTAGTTTCAGGACAGGCACCAGAAACTACAGAGAAACCCTGTCTTGAAGCCACCCCCCCAAAAAAAAGATGCTTCTTGAAGTTTCCTCCTGTTTTTCTATCATTTTTATCTTCCTCAGAGTAAATTAATAAAGTCATAACTTTGGTGGAATATATGTGTGAATTTAAGTAAATAACTTTGTAATCATAAATGCTATGTGTTTTCTAATTTGTATCAGGGAATATCCAGCCATCTTGAATTCAGATACCAGAGAAAAGCATCAGAAATAGTAAAAAGCAAGATATTTTATATTGTCAGATCCATTTTGGAACAGTTGAGATCATTTGGAAAAGTCAGTCTTTTGTTTTTATTTAGTTTATTACGGTTTTATCCATGTATGTGATACTGCTTTGATACTATTCCTGCCCCATTATCCTCTTACCCCCTTCCACTTGACTGCTTTTCCCCCCCCAGCCCCCCCCCCCCCCCCCCCCCCCCCCCCCCCCCCCCCCCCCCCCGCTTCCATGTCTGTTTTGAGTGTGCACATTTAATTAGTCTTGCTTGCTTGAGCAGTTACAGGGTTGTTTAGTTCCGGGAGGACAGTTACCAGTGCTATACCACTCAGGAGTGCGCCTCCCCCTCTCCCTGCAGTCATTAATTGCTTATAGCTCTTCAGGGAGGAGTGAAGCTACCACGATGGAATATTGTTGATGGGGGACTTTGTCTGACAGCACTCTGGCTCTTAACCCTTCTGCCTCCTCTTCCTGACTCTCCCTGCGTCTTGGAGATGATGATATGGACATCTCCTTTAGGGTTGAAGACTTGGTCATTGATTCTCAGCCTTCTGACCACTTAGGAGTCTCTGTATTAACAGTAATCCATTGCAGCCAGAAGCTGCTCTGACCAGCACCAATCTGTGGGTATAAATAGAAACATTTAGAAGGCAGTTTGATAGTGTGTCCATTTAAGAAAGTAAGATTCCTATTTAGGGACTATGACTGAACCATGGGCTTTTGACCAGGTTTATGGTACCAGGCATGAATTCCTGCTGTGAAGAGGATATCAATTCCAGTCAGATAGTGTCTGGTTACTCTCACTGAAGGCATGCCATTATTGACCAGTTGATGTATCTTTGCCTGGCAGGTTGGTACTGGAGCTGAAAGAGTTCATAGCTTAGTAATGCTGTTGTTTTTTATTTATTTTTTTTCTGTGTTTTAGTTTGCTTTATGTTACAATGATAAATACTGTAACCAGAAGCAGCTCAGAGTGTGGTGGGGTTTATTTGACTTACAGGTCAATGCAGGAACTTTAAATAGTGGGAGAACACTACTTACTGACATTTCTATACAGCCCAGCCACATGCCTAGGGATGGCACCCTAGCCTCATGCCTAGGGATGGGCCCTCCTACACTTTATCAGTTAGCAAGTCATAAAATAAATTCCTCACAGACATGGCCAGGCCATTCTGGGGTTGAGGTCCTTTCTCAGTTGACTCCAGTTTGTGTCAGGTTGACTCCTGAAGCCAACCGTGCCATTCTCAGCAGCCTGCACAAGTGTTCTGTCACTGTGAAAGCTGTCCAGCAGGGTTGGAGGCTTCCCCTCTGGTCCAGCTTGGTTACTGTGTCCTGCAACCAAAGTGTGTGGCATCTTCAGCAATAGGATGTTTTAAAGATTTATTTTTATTTTACGTGTATGAATGAGCATCTGCACGTATGTTTGTACACTGTGCACATGCCTGGTATATGAACAGGGTGTCATTCCCTGGAACTGAGTTACAAGTACTTGTGAGCCACTTGATTGTGGGTGTTAGTGATCACACTTGGGTCTTCCTCCAAGAGCAGGAAGATGACTCTTATCCATTGAGTCATC